CTTTCATATGCATATGGGACTGCTGAAAATAGCATGACATGGGTTAGTCACACCTTAGTCTTCAAAGAGGCATGTTTGCTCTTCAGCACTTTAAAGAGGTGTTTTGCAGCATTTTTTTCCCAGTGCACTACATCTTCTGATTTCTTGACTGCTGCTTCCATGGGTGTGGATTGTGAATCCATGTAACATGAAATTTTTGACAACTTCAATTGTTTTTCCACTTATTGTGATGCTTCTTATGGGTCCAGTTTTGAGGATTTTTGTTTTCTTTATGTTGAAGTGTAATCCATACAACAGACTGCAGTCTTTAGTCTTCATCAGTAAGTGCTTCAAGTCATCTTCACTTGCAGCAAGCCGGGTTGTGTCATCTGCATATCACAGGTTGTATATGAGTCTTCCTCCAATCCTGATGCTTGTTCCTCATCACGTAGTTCACTTCCTCATATTATTTGCTCAGCAGACACATTAATATGGTGAAATAACACAGCACTGACACACACATTTCTTGATTTAAAATGAAGCAGTATCCTGTTCTTCTGTTTGTATAACAGCCTCCTAGTCTATGTACAGGACTCTGGTGGCATACTGCCTAAAGCATTTGACTGCTAACCAGAAGGCTGGCAGTTCAAACCCATCAGCCACTCCTCTGAAGGAAGGTTGGGCAATCTACTTCCGTAGTGATACTGCCTAGGAAACCCAAGGAAGGGTCTCTATGAGTCGGATCTGACTTGAGGGCAGTGAGTTTGGTTTTGGTTTGTTCTATGTATAGGCTCCTCATGTGCACAATCAAGTGTTCTGGAATTCCCGTTCTTCTCAGTGTTATCCATAATTGGTTATGATCCACACAGTCAAATGCCTTTATATAGTCAATAAAATACAAGTAAACATTTTTCTGGTATTCTTTGCTCTCATCCAAGATTCATCTGACATGAACAAGGATATCCCTCATTCTTTATCCTGCTGAATCCAGCTTGCACCTCTACAGACAAGAGTAGAGAATTGAACTAGCTGGTTTAGCAGCTGAAGATCTGACCACAAGGTGGCAGAGCATATTTGCTGATGCAAAGCATGCTGATGAAAGATTCCTTTAGGTTGATTTCTCTGAGTAGGCTAAAGACAACAGCAGATTCTTGTGTAAGTAGTTTAAGAAACTGTTTTGGGGGAAGGGAAGAGGTAACCTGATAAAAGAAGCAGCTCTCTTGACTGGAGTTTGAAGGTCCCAATTGGGAGAACAATGAAGACAACTTTGTTAATATTCTTGTGGCTGCAGCTAGACTGTAAGTTGAGGGCTTTCGGGGAATGGGGTGGCTTAGTAAATATTCATTAGAACTCTGAGGGGGAGGCTGGCCTTTTCCAGATTTGTGGTAGTCACTGTAGGAAAAGAAATGCAGACTCTGGAGAACGAGGACCTGATGA